TTGGGAGTGTACAGTTATAGAGACCGAGAAATCAACTTAGAAATCTAGAAATCACTGGAAAATCGGGTGGAAATCAGTAGAAATCAGTTGGAAATTACGGGCTTTTAGAAATCTCGTACGTCATAACGGGCCGTTTCGTACCCCTCGGCTTTGGGCAATATATTCTCAGTCTCTTCCCCTTAGTTAAACTCCAATAAAATTGTCTTCAAATTTCACTCTTCCCTGACCTAAGTGCACCCATCTCAAAGAGCAAAGGTTTGGTAAGTTTTCTCTCTGGATTTCGCATGTATAGCCGATGCAAGGGAAGTAAGCTGAAGCCCATTGCCCACTATTGCACAATAGTGATACTATTCACACATGAACTCGCTTCAATTTCATACATTCCAGGGATGTTTCAGGGTAATAAGCTCATTCCTAGCCAAAAACATTTCGGGACAGAGTGTGCAGTGTCTAGGAAAGGAACCCAACTCCAATTTTCTCACTTCTACAACTCTCTACGTATACAAAGACCTATATAAGTAGTTAGACAAACATGGTTTCACGGCTCCTTGTCTGCTGGCAATTAATGTTTCTTGTTTGAGGCTGCTCAATGTTTTTAACCATTCCGAGTTTCAAAATAGCAATGCTTGCTAGATTGCCCATCTCCAATTTTTTGTCACATTTTTATCCAATCTTGCCCCCCCCCAATTCCAATTCTAGAGAAGCATGATCTTACTATGAAATTCTTATCCTCCCACCTGCATACCATTCATACACTTATGCTCACCTTCAAAGTAGCAGGCATCACTGTGATGGAATGTGTAGGCAACGTGCACATCAGGCTTCTTGTGGGGATGAATCTCATTAGTTCAGAGCTGCGCTCATGTCAGCCTTTATAAACTCGTGATGCCAGAGAGAGAAATTGTGGTATGCTCTGCTGATGAGGGCCAACAAGCCCGAAACAGCTGTCCAGAGCTCCACATCTTTTTTCTCTTGGCATCACATGGTTTTTCTACATGTGGGGTATGTATATAACAGTGTCAGTGTATATGTATCTTTGATGCCAATTCATGGAATCCATGTTGAGGCTTCAAAGGCTCCCAAAAACGAGGGCACATTGAGACAAACAAGATGACTCTACCGATTTACAAAGGTCAACAGTACACTGCCCCTCATCACACATACTGAGACTTATTGGTATCGTGCACATGTTAGAGAAGGGCAGCAGGATAACCCCAGGCAGCTCTGTTAACACACAATTAACCTTGTAGCATGTAGCTTTTAACTACTTAACATACATTGAGCTTACTTCAGGAACTTAAACAAAAATAAGATAAACTCACTGAAATACCTGAGTATATACTGGTGTTCAATGGAGAAATTTGGTCTGTGCAAGCAGAAAGTGGAGAACATGATAGAAAAGGAAAGAGAATAAGAAAATGTACGCAGTTGTTAACTTGTACCGGTCAAGAGGCTAAGTTCTTGTAATGTATATCTGGGGGACGCGGGAGGGTATCAAATGATATGACAACATGCCAACGATTATGTTATGTTGGGAACTTTCACACTGTATGTTGTACCTGGTACCATATATCAGCTCATCTATCGGATTGCAAGAAATTTACTGTGAGTAACAATTTCTAGTTTGCCTTCTAACCTCCAGCAATTGTAGTATATAGGTCTGCCCTGGTATATGGGTGGGAAGAGGGCTCTGCCTAGAGAGCAGAGTGTCATGGGTTCAAGTCCCACCCAGGGTAGCTCTTTTTGGTGTTCATCACTGAACAGTTAGCTTATACAATGCAGGAGGTGAAGAAAGGGTATTAACGTATCTCAGGGTGCTAGACCACACTAATGTCTTTACGGCAGGTTTAGCCACAGCAGAGAATGTACAGTATAGCCTAACAGTGAGGTGGTAGTGGCAGTCTGCTGTGTAATCGGGGGTTAGTGGCTACCAACAGAAGCGGGATGTCAAAAACGCGTCTCTACCACTGGATAAAGCACAAGCTATCATAGGGAGGGAAGGGTCCGCAATAATTGTCGCCAAATGGCCCTAAAGAGTTAAAGGGAATACTCTGGATATTCTTCTTACGAACAGCGAACATATTATCAGTCACATTTATATGTCAAAGCCTAATGATTCCCTCCCTTCCGATCACTACAAAATCTCCATTATTGAATCCAATTTTCCCCAGAAAAGACATCTCTTTGTGTTTGATTATAAAGGAGCCAATTATGAAGGGTTATGCGACTTCCTCTTGGATGTTGACTTCAGTTATTATCTTCAATCTGTCTCCGTTGATCAGGTCTGGTAATTTTTGAAGGCCACAATCTCAGGGGTATGAACCTTTTTATCCCAAAAGTTAGAATTACGACCACCAATTATCCAAAGTGGTTCAACTCTGAGATCCACCATAAATAATTGCCGACGTACTCAAAGGCAAAAGTGTTCTGTGCGCCCGACTCCGATCAACTTTTCCAATCTTCAATCCCTTGAATCTAGACTCAGCGAACTCATTACATCTGCTAAAACTCATTTTGAGCAAGCTCTATGTTTGCAATCCTCCACAAAAGGTTTAGCTACATAATATAAAGCTTTTCTTCTGTCCCTTCTGTACCACCCATTGTCTCTTTAGATGCATCTAAGGATTGTGATAAGGTTTCCCTGTTCAACTTATTTTTCCACTCTGTTTTCACCAGAAGTGGCTTTCAGATCCCTTCTTTGGAGGAGTTGCCAGTACCTGACCGTACTTTATCTGATATTTCAATTTCTGAATTGGATGTTTTTGAGACTCTGCTTCTCTGGACACATCTAAAGCTATGGGTATTGATGGAATTGGTACCAAACATTGTGCACAGGCACTTTACAAGCCCCTCCATCACCTGTTCTTGCTAAGCCTCTCACAGCACTATATATCTGCCTCAAGATTGGTAAACTCTCCTGGCTTTTACCCTCGGTGCGCATGCGCAGCGAGGGTACAGTAGTTGGGTCTGTGTGTCTGTCTGTTACTCTACATCTCACTTCTCGAGTGTTTGTTCGTCTCACAAAGGATATGACCTACTTAAGAATAAGATCTGGCACCCAAGAATCGTTCATGAACTGGGTAGTATTTGTTTGCCAGAGCTGCATCATTCCGGCGGTAGTTGGAAAGTGACATTAACCAGTGGCGTTGACAATAGGGCAATTGCTGGGATGTCTCTGTGACATACTCCATGAGTCGAAAGGCATCATGCCAAATCAAGTAGCAGCTAATCAGCTATGGGAAGATGAAAGAGCCTACCGAAAGCAAGCCTTAGAATGGGCCATTAAAGACAATTCAGGTTATGGAATGGTGCAGTTTCAAGACCTCAGACTCGCTGCAATTCAATCCTGCCTATTAGTTCCGAATGCTATACCATACGAATGCCACATTTTTGTAAGGCCAAAACAGAAAACTTGTTCAATTCAGACGACTAGGGTGGCTCTCCTATTATTCATTGTGAAAATCAAGAGCAAATCTATCATAGCTGACCACTGAGACACCAGGTATCAATCTGGTGCTAACAACCACACAGTAAGGTGCCAATGTTGATGAGATTCATTAAAAACCACAAGCGAATGGTAGAGAAAAATAAAGAAAGGTGCTAACATTGAAAACCACTGATGTTGAAACATGAAACCACCATGTAATGAGATTCATTGAAAACCACAAGCGAATGGTAGAGAACAGAGTATAAGAACCCAGGTCTCAGAGCTCCACTTCACTCTGGTCTTCCTTCAGAGCGAATAAATCTTTCGCCTTTTACTAAAGATTTCCGTGGAGGAGGACACACTATGAGTGTGGAATAATTTTTTTAGGCCCTCTCTGAGGGCTTACTGTAAAGTCAAAAAATAAAACACTTACACTCCAATACATGGTATGAAGGTTCTAAAAAAAAGCATGTGGTTCCTTGATATTTGAATTGATTGCCATGATTACACCTTGTCTCATTAATTATCGAGAAAAGGTGGAGAAGGATTATGTTTCTACCTTGGAGCCGGTAACAACCTCCCCAGAGTTCCATTTTAATAATAAAGAAATAGAAATCCATTGCGGAGAGTCCAGCCGGGATGGATGCTGGGAAATCAGTTCATGTGGTATTGTTTTTGAAAAAACAGTAGTTGATAAACTTGACCCTAGGAAAAAAGATTCGCCATTCAAGTGTGTTGTTACTCTTACCTGGCTTAGGCCCGAACTACAGCCTAACAGGTTTCAAGAAAATTTCAAGGTAATGGATAGTAGTGATAACAGTGATATTCGCTCTTTTTGATGTACATGTTGATCCTACCAAATTCGAAAGTCAAGAAAAACAGATCACTCTTCCTCCACTTTCGATCGAAAGTCAAGAAAGTGACACAGAGGTTACTCTTCCTCTCCTTTTGAGTCTGCCTTTGTCACCTGGCAAGTTCGTCAATCTCACTCAAGTTGTAGGGGATAAATGTTTTGCGTTTGGTGTTCACTTGCTCAATGACGAAAGTGGAAAACTTATGCAAGCAATAGTGGCACATAATCAGAAACAAACAGAGCCCATTGTCACAGAAATATTTATAAAGTGGATTGCGGGGGTAGGGAAAACTAAAACTTGGGGTTCTCTTGCTGATGCTTTTGAGCGTATACGTGATAAAAACACTGCTGGGGACATAAGACGAAATTATTGCAATAATTAGCTAACTTTTTGTTTGATTATGTACAAGTGATTATGTAGAGTGACAACCATATATATCTACTCAATTATTTTTCATAGTGTTCTAGTGTATAGGAGGGAGTTTGTCTTCTAATTTTGAGTCACTCCGAAAAGGAAAAACATTTCTAGTGGTCCCTCCACCTCTGAAAATGAAAGAATAACAGTTTTGGGTTATAAATGCTTGAATAATAGCTACCCAGAGTGGGACACTACCTAGCATGTGATTCTCTGAGTTGAGTTCTCATCAGTTGGTTCTCAAAGTTGAGTGATTCAATGAGGACCTCATCCTGGGCTCTCCTCTGCTGCAGAGCCTCCAGCTCTCCCTTCAGGTCCCTCAACTGCACATTTCATAGTTTGTCTCGTAAAAAATGTGCTCACAACATGCTAGCTTATCTGCTTTTATCTAAATCTACCAGCCAAATCCCACATTCTAAATAGGCTGCTTCGCTTACCAATGAGCAAAGCAAGCCTACTGTTATAATGTTAATGTTCTCGTTCGCTTGCCAAAAGTGTGTTGGCTTCATTCGACTATACTGTTGCGCATTAGAGTACTTTTCTGTCTTTTTCCTGAAGAGCCGTTCGCTCGTTCTCAATCCTCAGTTTCTCGAGGTACTTGTGAGAGTCACTCTGCTGCTGTATGTGTTGAGTCATTTCCTCAAACAACATCTGCATCTCAGACCTGCGAACAGTAGTAATTGTAGTTAGCCAATCACAGTTATAGCCATACATGAGTTGAAATGAGTCATTATTTCTAGATTGAATGCTGGTAACCTTTTTCACGTACTTTTTGGTTTCTTCTGCCTTACGAACACACTCTTCGTACTCCTTCTGAGCTTTAGTGAGTTCTACCACTTTGCTCTGAAGATCTCCGAGCTTGATTTTTAAACACCTGTTTCTAGAAGGTAGGTGAGCAGTTTTATGAGCATTCATGTATGTGATAGACATACATGACGAAAAGGCAGAGTAAACTTACTCTTGAGTGAGAGAGCTGCTATTGTGTCTCTCGTCAGCCAGTGTCTTGTCCACCTCTGTCAGTCTGGTTTCCAGCTCTAGTCGCTGGGTCTCTGCAGACTCTCTGCATCTCTCCAGATCCTCCTTTGCCATCTTCTCTCTCCTCTGCAGGTTCCGACTGTCGTTCAGTGTAATGTTCGAGGACATGTTTGTGAAAAAAGTGTCTACAAGTTGTCTTTTAAAGTTACTTACACAGTAGTTTTTAGCTGCTCAAGCTGTGCCATTTTTGCCTTCATTTGGTTCTTATGCTCTGTCCTGCATCCGGTTATTGAAATTTCACCCAAGGTTGAATTCATTATACCTTAGCATTTCCATGTCCCTGTGTGCCTCTCTCTCACACTGTCTTACAGTCTGTTTCATTTCTGAGAGCTGCTGGTTAGTCTGAGTCACAACTGCCTAAAATGCAGAGGAGCAGTGTACAATTTAGCTAACTATCAACACGTACTTCAAGTGAGCTCCTCCTCTTGTACTCCTCTTCCACCGAAACTGATATTTCACCTAGAGTATGTTTCAGCTCATCTCTCTCAGCCTCTAAACTTGTAATACACTCCTGTCTCTGTGTCAGCTGTGCTCTACACTCTATGTGGTTCCTTCTTTCATGAGAGAGCTCAGTCTCTAGTACATCCTACATGTGTGTGCATAGTAATGGTCTATGACAATGTTTCACATTAATTATTATTCATGGCTTTAATGAACATATCTGATTTTCATGAATGAGTTTTCAACGTAAATGAGCATTCCATGTGTCTTCTCACCTGCACTGTCTTTTGCTGCTCGAGAGTGTTGGTCAGTTCAGAAATTTTTTCCTCAGCCAACCTCAGCTCTGCCTTCTGAGATCAATGCATAATTATAACCACTCAATGTCAAAAGCATGCTGTCTTGTGCTACATTTTGTACCTTCTCCTTTAGCTCACTAGCTAGTAGCTTGTTTTTCTCGTCAGCTTTCTCCAGATGAGTGGTGGCTCGAGACAGCTCTGCCATGTATGTCAGACAATCACTCTTTGCTCCCTTTTCACCAGCTTCTGCCTGCACAAGACCAATTTAATTACAGGGTCCCTCCAAAATCATGCAACATACCTCCTTTAGTTCTTTCTGTAGGTTCTTGATGTGGCGTACGAGTTTCTTCTGTTTCCGGAGGGCCGTCTGCTGGATTCTGTTGAGTGAGAGAGCAGCCGTCTCTCTCTGGAGTTTGAGCTGATTCTGGAGCACGGCACACTCCTCTTGTGTGCACCGTAGCTCCTCCTGAGGACAACAAACACACTCTCTGCTATGTGCTTGCAGTGGGTTTGCTACTTGAGAAACTCGTGCTGTGCGGTGAAACGCTTGCCTTGAGGTGCTGTGTAGCTTTCACCTCAGCTTCAAACTTATCCTTTACTCCATTCAGTTGGAGCTTTGCCTCACATAGTTCAACTTCCAATTCACTCACTCTGCTCGCATTCATTCTGCAACGATGAAAAATAGGAGCTAGCTCCTAACAATAGGTGTATATTATATAGACGGCTACTACGCATGTGCCCAAAGATGTACAGATCACCGCCTGCACAGGCAGCTACCTCCCCAGCTTTGCAACTCCCTCGTATATAGGAATTTTCTTCGTCTCTTACTCTGATGTGGATTTTTCAATAGAAGTCTTGAGTTTGTCTTTCATTAGGGAGAGTTGGGATTCTCCTTGAACTGAGACAGTATGTATCCTCTCTAACTCAGCCTCCAGCTCATCCTGTCTCTTCCTGGAATATTACAGCGTGATCAGTGGTAGCACAAGTAAGACACAGATTACAGTACTTGGATGAGGAATGCCCTTTAAACGTCTGCTCCAGAAGATTGATCTTCCTCTCGAGAGAGTGTTGTATGTCCTGAGTGGCTCTGAGACCAGCTCTCAACATGGCATTTCTTGTCTGCAGCTCTTTGCCGCTACATTTTAGAGCTTCCACTCCTTCCGCAAATTTGTTTCCTCTGCATACCACCTCCGTTGGTGAATCACCTTGTTTCTTCTAGAAAACACATAATAATTATGTCATTCGGGCCATCAATAACCATTTCTATGTACCTTCTTTATTTCAGTTAGCTCTTTACTTAGTTCTGCCCTTGATTTCTGGTACTCTTCCAGTTGGGATCTCACGGTTACTTCTCTCTCTTGAAGCTTGGAAAACTCCTGTCTCTCTTCACTCAGTAGTCTCTGTAGGCGCTCAACTTCCATCTGGGACAGTTTCACCAGTTTTGTGAGGCCTTCGGTATCCGGTGTAAGAGGAGTTTGTTTCTGCTGTGGTTTTCTTGAGAGAGTTAACTCTCTGTTGAGGCAGGAGAGTTGGTGTTCCAGTGAGGCAGTCTGCTGTTGGGTTGCTGCGAGCTCTGCCATCAGTTGCTGCTTTTCTTCGTGTGAGGAGAGTTCAAGTCTCAGCTTTTGAGAACTCTCTGTAGCCTGAAAGAGAAGAGTTAACACAAATGTTTGTGTACTAGGGAATGGTGTATATATACCAGTTTTGATGTGAAGTCTCTAATCTCTCTTTCCTTTGTTGCTAGCTGATTTTGTAATGACTCAATCTTCAGCAGAGAAAGAGAGAGAGATACTCAGTTTTAAACTGTATGAACTTCTTTACCTGTGCCTGCAGTAATGTGGCCTTGCTCTTCTCAAGGCTCTCTTCACTCTCTAGGGCTACACTCTTAGCACCGAGCTCAGCTGTGAACCAGTCATAATATCACCACTTAGTCTGGCAACTATGACATGACACACACATACCTTGTAGGTTACTGCACTCTGCATTTTTGGTCGCTAGCCTCTGCTCAAGAACTTCAACTGTCTGCTGGGCGGTCTCTGATTTGGTTTTCTATGCGAACGTTTGTGCACTCATAACCATCACCATTCAATAATCACAATACACATGTGATAGCTCACTTACACTTACGTTCATTTTAGAAAGTGTTAGGATCTGATTTTGAAGCCTCTCCCTCTCTCTGCTCAACTCGAATCTGTGTTGTCCCTTTATCGCATGCATTGCTGATAGGGTATGTATATAAATGGAAAGGTTGAAATGTGTATAACATTATGATCACTTTTTTCATGTTCTTGTTGGAGATGCTGTTGTTTCTTCTGCATCATCCGAAGTGCCCGTTCTAGAGCTGATATTGCTTCAAGCACTGTAGCTAAATGAAAGTATTGTGTGTCTTAACTGTTAATTATTACCTTTTGTGTCTGTCATTGCACTATGGCGAAATCCATTTCTATTAAGCAGTAGCAGTGAGTTGTCTGCATCAGTGTCATCAAAATCTTCCTCGTTCAAAATTTCAATGGGCCTGTTGGGAAGCTTAGCCATTGGTAGTAATTAGCGTTACTGGAGTAACTCACTCAGGACATGGGGGTTGTACGTGCTCAGATGGTTGTGATCTTATGGTCAAAGTGTGTTTGTACGATGGCAGTTTACTCGAGAAATAAACTGTCTTTTTAGTCCCTGTGGGGATAGCGTTCGATCCTAGTTCATCTGTTGTGCCTTCACCTCTGTTAGTCTGTGAGGGGCTTTCTTTTTCCCATGCCCGTTGTCTTCTAGACCCTGGAAATGATGGTCCAGGAGGATTGTCTTGAGCCTTCAGCTGTGTCTTGTCAGACTCTATGCTTGTGGTCTGTGTGGAGACTTCGATGTGACTATGTGAGGATGTTATCCTTGGTTTCAATTGAAGATTGCATAGCCTCGAAGGAACTGTTTATAATATATGCAAGAAGGGCATACATCACATATATTAACATCAATATTGTTAGACTTATCGTTACTTGGAATGTGGCTTGGACTCGTTCTCCCCGGCCCTGTCGTCGAGCTGCTAGGAATGCAAGTATAGTTGCATCAAAGCATTGGGTACTGAGGGATTCTGTCCACAGTTTTACCCCAGTTTCCGAGCTCCATAACTCAACTGCGCCGTGGATGCTTTCGCAGCCGGTGGCTGCATAGTCCAACTTGCAATAGATAATCGCTAACTTTCTGCTTCTGTGGTTGCAAGTGGAGCCGTAGCAGCTGGGCGATTGCTAATTAGCTCTAGCACGCGTGTGTGGGCCAAATTCACACCTGATGAATTTCGTCCCGCATCTTGCTCAGGCTCATTTCTACTGCAATGTATATGTTTTTCGTTGAGGCTCTGGACCACAAGATATCTAGGTCAGGAAACCTAACCAGCCAGCAAAGTTGGAGCGCTGTGCTGCAAGAGCTATAATTATATAGAGAATCAGCCTGTTACCAGCCACTCCCCCTCGGTCTCGCTTCGTGCACGCAGGGTGAAAGGTCACATGAATTCCAATTTAACGATAACTGGGTGAGGAAAATTGAAATATTTTCTCACACCGTGAGACGCATGCACCTGTTTCAGTGCGAGCTTGATTTCTCGAGCCAGTAGTCAGTAAGGAGAGAGGACGTAGCTGTTGTCAGTGGAACAGAGGGTACACACTCTACGTGAATGAAGATTCCTGCAGCCTTCTCTGGAGCCGATGTGAGTGAACACCAAACTACAGTATATATTCACTTGTTGGTCTCACTCATTGTGAATGGCTAGCTCATAGTGTCATGAGTGATGGTATAGCATGCCTGTGTGTATCTCTTACCTCAGGTGTGAAGTTATGAATCAGGATGAAGGGGAGCCGGTAAGATACCTATCAGTAATGATGCTATTGTTGGGTGAAGTACATACATATTTCACCAATATCTGATTCGGGGGCCTTAAAGTGAGAGTATTGTGACCTTACAACAGTGCTAGGTGGTTTTGATTCTGGGGTTTTAGTTGGGTATCTGCAGGTGTCAGTGTGTGCAGTGTCCCACAGCTGGTAATTGATAGGGTATGTCCTATACAAAGGTCCTAATTGTGTGTCTTCTGTAGGAGGTTGTGGTGTGGTGTGTAATGCAACCCGCAGTAGTGTAGCTAGTAATGTCTGTACAATGACCCAGCCGGTTCCCTGCACTCTAGCTCATGTTGAGAACTTGCAGTCGGTACATAAGTACTGAGCCCTGGCCTGGTTGGTTGTAGTGTAGGAGTGTTTACAGCCAAGAGCATAGAGTCCGGTCCTACTATCATAATGCTCTTTGTGCATAAAAAAGCTGAAGTGGGATCAGAGTGATGAATGCAAGTTTTGATCTACATATATAGCAATGTGTTGGTTCTAGTATAGATATGATTTACTAGCTGGTGTGGTATAGTGTTAATAGCTCTTTTGTATGAGGTACAGGGCCGCACTAAGCCTTCCCTCCTCATGTGTGTCTGTTGCAGTGGAAAGGTGCTCCCATTGAGTCACTACCTTGCATTCTGTAGGTACCTAGTGATTCACAACCAGAGAGTGTTCCAGATGGTAGAGGTGTGACAAAAACTATGGAGAACGAAGAGGAGAAGGGTGGAGTGGAGGAGGCTAGGGGGAAAGAAGGGAGAGGGGACAATGACAATGTTAAAAATGAAGGTGGAGAGGGAGAAGGAGGAGATTGTGGGAAAGAGGGAGGACACAAGGAAGGGGAAGGAGAAGAGGAAAGAGGAGATGGAGAAGGAGATGGTGGGAGAGAGGAAGGGGAAGGAGGAGAGGAAGGAGGAGAGGGAGATGGAGATGGTGGGAGAGAGGAAGGGGAAGGAGGAGAGGAAGGGGGAAAAGAAGAAGAAGAGGGAAGAGGAGGAGGAGGAATAAGCTCAGTGGAAGAGAAGAAAAACGAAGACGCTGATTCTGAAAGAGGTGCTCAGTTGACTGTTGATACAGAGGATGATAAGGAGGTTGAGAAGAAACAGGAAGAAGTGGAGGAAGGGAAAGTAAACCGAACTCTTGAAGAAGATAGTAAGGAGATAGAAGGAGGAGGAGAAGGAGAGGGACGAGAGGAAGATAGCCCAATGGACAAGGAGAGAAAGGCGTCCAAGGACCAGTTGCTCAAGTCAGCAGGGATCCAGCTTACAGACTCGTCAGAGAGCGATATTACAGGGGCTCCCCTGAGGACGAGTGACGACACGGCACAGGACAGGAACCTGGAGCAGTTCAGTGAGATTCTGCTGGACTCTGACAGCGAGACGGGGCTATCTCTCCCGGAGGGAGGGGCCGGGATTGAGGGGGAGGGGCCTGAGGTGGAGGAGGGAGGGAGGAGCAAACCAGAGAGACGTGTTAGGTTTGCTGACGAAGTCATGGAGACCACTGACAATGCAGGTCTGCATAATGTTGTTTTTCACTACCATCGATGCTATAGTTGCTCCACTAAGGATTTGTTATGCGCAGTTAAAGTGCAGTATGCTCAATGCTCTCTTTTACTTGCTCCCACATGCGTTTTCCCAATAGAGTGAGATGTTGGTTTGGCCTCTATACTTTGGTAATTGGCTAACAAACCGAGCCCACCTATTCATCTCATTTGCGTGATATAAAAATGTCAATGGAGCTGTTACCATACTGTAATGTAATTCAGTATGTACTTCAACTTTTCACTTGTGCTCACCGAAAAAGTTGTATTTGTTCAAGAAATTCTTTTCTTTCTCATTTCCCCCTCTTCCACCTCCAGACTCGAGACCAAGGTCATCTCCCAGACCAGAGACTCTGCCCACAGGACCACAGGCCACTGTAGTCTCTCCCAGATCCTCTGGGAACATTATCACCCCGGCATCTCCCAGATTACAGGTTTTTGTCTGTAAATTATTGCCGGGTTGTATTCTCGCGATATGCATACATACGTACGTACGTGTCCATCACGCTTAAGAATGTCAATTAGTCACGCTTAGGGAATGTCAATTAGTCACGCTTAGGAATGTCAACTTCCGTCATTCGTAGGAAGTCTAGCTTCGCGCGCACAGTCAGTAGAGCGCGGGCACGAGCGGCCTCAGTCGGACTGTTTACGCATTGGCTGGCAGGCGCGAGGCAAAATATGCGCGTGCGCATTCCTAGTAGTTCATGATTTTAGTAGACAAAAAAACATGAGGATCAGATTTTTTAGCGAGCAAGCCCGTAGAGAAGGACCTCTTCTGGTTTTCGAGTGTGTTTAACAGTCGTCCATGTGGCAATGTGGAAATGATGTGCAGCTCTTAGGACATACGTAGGCCGAGTCTGCACTCTTCTCGTGGGGAGCTGGACGACACAACGTGGAAACTCTTTCTCTCTCTCAAACCCAACTCTGCCCGCCTGGTATAACTGCTGGTTTATACTAGTGGTATGGGTACAGAGAAATCAAAAAATGAGTACGGGTAATAAAAGTACAGTCATTACAGATGTATGTACATGTACAGTTGGGTTGTTAGTACATTCCAAGTGTGTATGTGTATCAGTTAAGGTATGTATTTTACAGTGTGCACGGATGGATTGGATTTCAAAAATAAGGGTTCACAGTGGTTTCAAAAGTCCCCCTGATAATCTGGGATATCTCGATCGCCAATTTTACCGTACATGCAGCTTTGTACCATAGAGATCTACATATGTTTGTGTACACACTGTCATTTGATCACTGCAGAGTCCGCGGTCTCCCAGTGCACCTCATACTCACGAAGAGATTATTGCAGGAGTCAACTACTCTGCTGAGGTATGTATATACGGATAGTCCCTTTGGTTCTCAATAGTGTTATCTTTTAGCCTCAGAGTATCTGTAAGGCTGATGACTCTGACTTGTAATTTAGGATGTACAATGTAGTAGTAACATTAAGTGTTCGGACCAGAATTGGCAGTGAAACAATCCTAAATTGTGTACTAATCTCTCCCACATGGCAATATTTAAACCGCTTTCTGATACATACATACGTAATCTATACTGCAATAATTATTGGTAAAGAAAGGCCATACCTAGTCTGGCATAGCCTGCCTATTTCACGCGCGTGGAAGAAATAGTCAGGTGACGTTAGCATCAACGACCTGTACCCTCTTCAACTATAGTTGCAGTCCAATCAGATTGCAGAACGGCGTGGAATGTAATCCGTATGCTCGGTTACGTCATAGTATAGTTGTTGAAGGAGAGCCTCCGTGAGCACTGCTAGTACAGCAAAAGCTTGAGAGAGTTCCTTGTCGACTGCACTGGTGCTAGCCATCGTCAAAGACCAGGGTTAGTAGTGTAACGGAGCTCAGAGCGTTCTCCGGACTCCACCCACTAATCACGTGGAAAAGTTGGGGTATTGTGTAACCCCCACATTCCAGGGGTACGGGTCGTTGATGCTAACATCACCTGACTATTTCACCCCCATGAAATAGGCAGGCTACGCCAGACTAGGCCATACCCTATTATTAGAAGCAACATAAGTGTGTGTTGTTATATACTACAATGTGCAGTACATGGGTTCCACTCCCATCATTCTGACTGGAATTGCCTCAGCCAAGACTGCCAGGATGCACCAAGCTCAGCAAGTCGTCAAACTGTTCAAGGTTTGCTTGTTATCATGTACACCTCATACCCCAGAAGAAAATGACCTACAGCAGCTGTACACATGTCATATGTATGTATAATATACTACACGTGTACATGATAACAAGAATAATGAAAAGCACTAAAATGCAAACCCTCGGCGAACTGCGCATGCGCGGTACCACTAATTGATGGGCTGTCAATATGCATTTTCCATTATGCATTTTGTGTCTGCACGAGAGTGGAAAAAGAGACAAACCAACTCTCCCAAATACTTTAACTAAAGTTGGTTGGAGTATGGAGTGGTAACATCTTTAATCTTGCTGCACTTACATAACCCTTTCTTGCCCAAATTTCGCTATCCCCCTAAATAAAGGTGTCAACAATTTTGCATTTTTTGTCGGCACAAGCGTGGAAAAAGAGACAAACCAACTATCCATAATACTTTAACTATAGTTGGAGTATGGAGTGGTAAACTCTACTATCTTGCTGCACTTATCCCTATCTCGCCCACATTTCGCTATCCGAACTGCGCATCCGTGGTACCGCTAATTGATGGGTTGGGCTATTTCGTGGTGGTCTCCCACTAGTATAGCTCGCGGAGAGTCTGACACGGGCTAGCTACAGTAGTAGATAGCATGCGGGAGTCGATACACGCCCTTCGTTGTGACTTCTTGTGCCTTCAAGATACACAGAGCAAGCAGCCCAGTCGAGGTAAGCTTGTGCTAGCATATAACCGCATGCGCATTTTCCGCAGCAATAAAAGATGGCCGACTACGCATTAGCCGTACAATGCTGGGAGCGCTCTAACTTTGCAACAGTGCAGTTTCAGAGAAAACCGCACAAATTTCTGACCTTCATTGCCCGTTAAGTAAGTCGTATCGTTTGTGAAACGAAAGAACATTGGAGAAGTGAGATGTTGAGTAACACACACACACAGACCCAACTACTGTACCCTCGCTGCGCATGCGCACCGAGGGTAATAATACTCAGGTGGCAGCCATAGCATCTGGGTGTGTGGTCTATGGCCCTAGTGCTATGGCAGCCACCTAACCCTCGGCGCGCATGCGTGAGTGTTACTGTAGTTGTCTTGTGTCGGCCAAAGACAAGCTATGCTAGATGAGACTGGCTTACCTCGACTTGCTCTGTGTACCTCGGAGGCACAAGAAGTCGCAATGTATCGAATTCCGCATGCTATCTACTACTGTAGCTAGCCCGTGTCAGACTCTCCGCGAGCTACTCTAGCGGGAGACCACCATACACTAATAGCCCAGCCCATCAATTAGCGGTACCGCGCATGCGTAGTTCGCCGAGGGTTTGCACTTTAGTGCTTTTTCATTATTATTATTATGATGTACACGTGTAGTATATACAGTACATACACATAACATGTGTACAGCTGCTGTAGGTCATTTTCTTCTGGGGTATATACATATGAGGTTTTTTTGGTGATGTTTACGAATGCATCTCTGTAATGTAAAGTGTGGGCCCATGAACGACATCTTACTCAGTCTAGCTGACCTGGAACAATCATGCACTATTGGTTGCATTCACCTTGTTCTGTTTACTTCCATGCATGCGTAACTCTACAGCACATGGCACGTATGCTGCTAGTCATTCAGTTCATGCGTTTTCCTTTTCCACTGACAGTTTTTTTCTTTCATTGTAGTGTGACGTGTGTTTGTTTGTTTGTAGGATCCAGAGAACGATGTACTGCCTCGTTTTCCGGTCACCATCAGGATATCCTCCCAGTCCATCAAGATTGTCGATAGCACTGCTGGCGTGAGTTATCCGCATCACACACTGCCTGTAAATACACAGTGTACATTTGCTGGTCCATATGCAAAACGGTGCTGTACTACGGAGCAAAGGTGCTGTTTTTTTAGGAAAAATAAAGCACTTGCGGTACCTTTGATCTGCCCATGCAAAGAACAGTGTATGTACTGTATATATAGCAGAACACTTTATGATCCAGTTGCAGACTAGAACAAGGTTTTGTAGATTGCTTATTCTTCTGGTTCGCACCCACGAGAGAGGGTTCTGCGGTGACAGTGGGTAGATCCGCTCCTGCCCACGTCGGTGTAGGGCATGCAACGAAACGAAATGTGTATAAACACTGATATTTATCTCTCAAATTGTTAAATTTGCACCCCATAAAAGCTTCTAGCTAAGTAAGATAGTATGTGAAACTGATTCTCAATAATTGGTGCAGATTGACCTGATGGACCATCCTCTCTATACCATATCCTACGTGGCAGACATTGAGAATGTTCTAGTCATCATGATAAACAGAATCCAGCCACCTGCAGCTAGGGAGGGATCAGTTCAGGAAGAAGAGAAGAGGGAAAATGAGGAAGGAGGTGGGGAGAAGGGAGATGGAGGGGAGAGAATGGGGAATGGAGGAGGGGAAGGTGGTGAGGGTGTGAAGAGTGAGGACGGTGAGGGTGGGAAAGGGGAGGTTGGTGAGGGTGAAGGAGGAGGAGAGGAAGACGGAGAAGAGTTCAATGGGCTCAACATTGGACCCATCCCTAGGATGACTTGCCACGTCCTCGAAACAAATGATGTGAGTTTTGTCTATGTCAGATCCTTGACCTAGTCTGTACGCCATACATACAACTACCCATTTCCCCCTTAATGTGACAGTTATTGTATGTATGTATGTATGTATTTATGTATGTACATATATATGTTGCAGTGCCCAGACAGGACACACCATCAGTGTCCTGTCTGGGTACTGCAACATATTTGTTGGATATCACTAGGCAAATGACATGTATGAACCCTTCTTGCACATTGTAGGATTGTATAGGCTGATACAATCCCCCAGTACCTAGCTTCATACATGTCGGTTGCCTAGGGATATCCAACAAGTATGTATATGTACACATTCACATGTGTAGTTCCTAGTACATGCATACATATTTCAATTTCTTCGAGCTGAACTTTCAACACGAGACACGAACGGTTTAAAACCCATTAAAACCCTATCAGGTGATTGTTCATTTTACTAGTGAGATTTCTATGATATTGACTGGACTATAGATTAATTGTACTCTCTCTCTCCCCCTCTGTCCAGGCCCGGCACGTGGCGATGGTGATAGGACAGGCGTTCAGCGTGGCATACAAGGAGTTCCTGAGAGCCACTGGGATCAGCGAGGAGGCCCTGGAGCAGGCAGAGTACGCCCACATTCTCAACGCCCAGACTGCCCCCCAGGCTGAGCTGGACCTGCTCAGAGACAGAGACAAGATCAGACAGGTGTGTTAACTAGTCCGTCCACCTTTTGGGATTGTTGCGCTTGAAAATGGTCGCAGTTTGCCTCACGAAAGTGCACGTTTTTTGTATTCCATTTTACATTGTCTAGTCTGGACCCCCTCTTCTCACGTTCCACTGTCTATGATTACTATGAAGTAAGAACCTGAAACAGAATGTTTAGTGACTAGATGCCTGGATGACTTTGCAAAACACACAAGCCTTTTGCTGTATGTGACGTACATACAAATTACGATTGTTGTATGTTGTTGCATTACATGCCTGATTTGTAAAGCAAAAGTGTTTTGCTTCTACGTACATGTACATGCATACTATGTTCTCAAAATCTTCAGTATCTCAATCTCTCTCCTTCTCTCTTCCCCCCTCCTCTCTCTGAATAATTGCAGCTGAACTTTGCCAAACATAAGGGTGACGTTCTCGGACTAATGGTCGTGGAATCTGGCTACGGGTCGGCCCTGCCTACTCCAGTTATTGCCCACCTCAGTAAGACGGGCAGTGCTGCTCGCAGTGGTCAGCTGAATGTTGGGGACCACATCATTGCCATCAATGGAGTCAACATGGTTGGCATGCCTGTCAAGGTCTGCATCGAGCAGCTCAAGGTCAGTAGCTAGTGCTATGGATGGATGAAAGTTTCTGTACTTGGTTTATGAGTATGTCTGTGTGTCGGTCTATCTGTCTGTTACCACGTTTTCTGCTTCGAGGCATCAAAAGAGATGGACCAGCAGGTTCAGTGCTACACTGGCTTCATCTTAAATTTGCATGATTTTGAAAAAGTACTGTTTCCAAGACACCGCGAACAAGCCAATATGGAAAATTAATTAGCACGGGCTTACACCTCGATCAGATGCACTTGGTTTGCACACCTTGGAAGGACTATAAGTTGCAACGCAGGGTGAGTATCGACTCCCGCATGCTATAGTTTAGCTAGCCTGTGGGTCTTTGTTTAACTCTCAGAGCATTACAATGTACAAGAGACCACAACAACAGCCTTGCAATTAGCGGTACTGGCCCATGTATGTGTATGGGTTTCAACACTTGTTAACCCTCGGCGCATGCGCAGCGAGGGTTACGGTAGTTACCCTCGGCGCGCATGCGCAGCGAGGGTACAGTACTTGGGTCTGTCTGTGTGTGTGTGTGTCTGTCTGTTACTCTCAATCTCACTTCTCCAATGTCTGTTCGTCTCACAAACGATACGACCAACTTAACGGGCAATGAAGGTCAGAAATTTCGAACGGTTTTCTCTGAAAATGCTCCGTTGCAAAGCTAGAGCGCTAGCCAATGATGCAAATACAAACGGACGGGACGGCATTTTACGCAGGGTCTGAACGATCCGCGTGCTCTGCGTACTCGTAGGCACCAGAAGATGCACGCAGGGCGTGTATCGCCTCTCGCATGCTATCTAGTAGTGTGTTACAGCGTCAGACTCTGCGCGAGCTGGGAGAGACCACGACAGCTAAAACTAAACCCAGCCCATCATATTAGTGGTACGGCGCATGCGTTTACTTACGCGTGCGCGTCACAGTGCGCCGAGGGTTTGCACTTCAGTGCTTTTCATTGGGTTTGTCTGTCTGTGTGTGTGTCTGTCTGTTACTCGTCATCTCACTTCTCGAGTGTTCGTTCGTCTCACAAAGGATACCACCTACTGAACGGGCAATGAAGGTCAGAAAATATGTGGGGTTTTCTCCGAAACTGCTCCATTGCAGAGCTAGAGCGCGAAAAAGCTAATATGCAAATAGGCAACGGACGGGACGGCTTACCACGGTCTGATCGATCCGCGTGCTCTGCGTACCTCAGAGGCACCAGAAGATGCAACGCAGGGCGTGTATCGCCTCTCGCATGCTATCTAGTACTGTAGTTAGCCCGCGTCAGACTCTGCGCGAGCTGGGAAGAGACCACGAGTAACAGCTAAAACTAAACCCAGCCCATCAATTAGTAGTACGGCGCATGCGTTTACTTACGCGTGCGCGTCACAATGCGCCGAGGGTTTGCACTTCAGTGCTTTTCATTGCATCAGTAATTTAGTGCTATATAGTTATACAGTATTGAACTTGTCCTTCCAAATATTGGGTGTGTCCTGATGGATAAACAGTCACGCACTAGATCCTGAGGTCAGCGGTTCAATCCCGGTCTGGGGCTCTTAATATGAGTGTTGATATAAGAGGAACGTTTTTTCATCAGCTCTCGTGGCCAGCCCAAGTGGCTAAGTGGTTAGAGACGTGGGGACTGTCACATAAGGTGCCCGGTTCGAATCCCGGACCCGCACTGAAACTGACAGGTGGTCCAGAGCATTGGCTGGGAACAGCTCTGGTTCCTCCCCTTACCCACAAATCTACCACTGACCCACGCCACCGCCACATACATCTCAAAGGACAGCGTACAGTTTGGCATTGCACTGCGTCCATAGACGTCTGTCTGGAGAGATGTAGGTGGCATTTTTTTTACTTTTTCAACCTCAGAATTTATTCTTTTTGAAGTGAAATAGAGCATAATATGCAGTTTCCTTTTTTTTTAATTGCATAACCAGTCTTGTTTTTGCCTGTGTAAGAAGCCTCTCATTTATATAATTATTTAGTTAGCTATACATTTTTGTACTGCATGGCCAGTAATGCTGTTTTCTTTTTTCCTTCGGTTGTCCTTGGTGCTGTTGGCTTTGCCTTTGCCTTTCTACCTCGTTGTTGTCACGTGAATGCCATGTAGCACAGTGGTTAAAGGTTTCGTCTTCTTGTCTTTAGGAAACACTGCTGTTACATACATAATCTGCAGCATGAAATCATGGTTTGTGTAATTTAGATGCAAGCTCACCTGCATGTGCATGTGTGCTGTAGTGACTGCCTTGCAAGTTTGGATATCAAAGCAGATGAAAGTGATTTCCTATTGTTTTCGTCACAGTGCTCCGATTATCTGGGAAGTGCACGTGTTTGTATACAAACCGCTAATGTATGTTTATATGTACTTTGAACTACAGTACGTAGCGTGAACTTTCGATGATAGGAGCCAGGAAATAGCAGGAATTGTTTGTTGATGGCAGGGTTCTCCCTAGGGCCCATTAGTGAGGGAGAAGTGTGTCCCACTGAAAACTTTGTGCACCATACTGAGTACTGCCATGTGGACATGTTTTAGTGATGTGCACTCATGGGTCCTATTTTCATGTGTTCATCATGAACACTCGCTCTGCAGTGAATTATGCACGCAGAAAACTAGAGCTACCTAGACCCATTGTACTGTGCACCATATTGTGCAAGGGTCAAGTAATGGGGTTTGTCTGCCGATTAATTGACCCTAGGGTTAAGGCCTTGTAGCTTACCCCATGCTGAGTTACCTGTACCCTGGCCATGAAATACTAAGAGCAGGGCAAGTGGTCTGCAGCCAGGCACATGAAATGGTGATGTATGTGCACATTAGGGTTATGGTATACTCACGCGATTTCACGCGTGTAGTCTACTTCCGTTTTTATTTATGCGTGAAAAAATTATTTCACGTACACGCATGCAGAGAAAGCGATACTACCACGCTTTGAAACGCGAACTCGTGACGTAAAATGACGTCATGACCGAAAATGCGCCTGGTCAGATGTAGTACCACTTCTTGCCAATGAAACTACACTGCAAACCCTCGGCGAACTGCGCATGTGCGGTACTGCTAATTGATGGGCTGGGCTTTTTCGTGGAATGTCTGACCACGGGCTATAGTAGATAGCATGCATGAGTCGATACACGCCCTTCGTTGTGACTTCTTGTGCCTTCAAGATACTCAGAGCAAGCGGGCCCGGTCGAATTAACATAATAACCGCATGCGCATTGTCCGCAGCGATAAAAATGGCCGACTACGCATTAGCTGTACAATGCTTGAAGCGCTTTAGCTTTGCAACGGAGCATTTTCAGAGAAAACCGCACAAACGTTCTGACCTTCATTGCCCGTTGAGTAGGTCCTATCGTTTGTGAGACGAACAAATACTCGAGAAGTGAGATGTAGAGTAACAGACAGACACACAGACACACAGACCCAATGAAAAAGCACTAAAGTGCAAACCCTCGGCGAAGTAGCTCGCAGAGAGTCTGACACGGGCCAGCTACAGTAGTAGATAGCACGCGAGAGTTGATACACGCTATTCGTTGTGACTTCTTGTGCCTTCAAGATAGAAGGAGCAAGCGGACCCGGTCCTTTGCTAAATATAAGCGCATGCGCATTATCCGCCAGCGATAAAATGGCGACTACCGGCATTAGCCATACAATGTGGAAGCGCTCTAGCTTTGCAACGGAGCATTTTCAGAGAAAACCGTTCCAAATTTCTGACCTTCATTGCCCATTAAGTAGGTCGTATCGTTTGTGAGACGAACAGACATTCGAGAAGTGAGATTGAGAGTAACAGACAGACACACAGACAAACCCAACTACAGTACCCTCGCTGCGCATGCGCGCCGAGGGTAATGAAAAGCACTGAAGTGCAAACCTTCGGCGAACTGGGCATGCGCGGTACTGCTAATTGATGGCTGGGCTGCTATTAGTATGTAGTATACTCGTGGTCTCCCGCCTGACACGGGCTAGCTACAGTAGTAGATAGCATGTGGGAGTCGATACACGCCCTTCGTTGTGACTTCTCGTGCCTTCAAGATACACAGAGCAAGCGGACCCGAGCCTGTTCCAAATATAAGCGCATGCGCATTTTCCGCAGCGATAAAAATGGCCGACTAGCATTAGCCGTACAATGGCGGAAGCACTCTAGCTCTGCAACGGAGCATTGTCAGAGAAAACTGTTCGAAATTTCTGACCTTCATTGCCCTTTAAGTAGGTCGTATCCTTTGTGAGACGAACAAACACCCGAGAAGTGAGATTGAGAGTAACAGACAGACAGACAAACCCAACTACAGTACCCTCGCTGCGCATGCGTGCCGAGGGTAACTACAGTAACCCTCGCTGCGCATGCGCGCCGAGGGTTAATAATAAAATCCACTGAACCATGGTTGGCTGGGTAAAGCACACAAACGTAGTCCCCGATGCCTATTAAAGCATGCTACAGAAGG